GAAAAATGGTGACGTGTTCAATACTTATTTTACCCGCTGTATATAAACTGAAACAGCTGGACTAGTGCATCCTAAATTCAACATGAATTAATTTCAATGTGATACAGTCATTTCAGCATTTTTGAAGTCACCTCCTAATAAATGTCCTTACAGAAAATCTAACTGCTCATTTTAAATCAATACTTTTACTTTTAATACTTAAGTACAAAAAAATATCAGATACTTTAATACTTTACTCATTCCTAAAAGGGACGTTAACTTTTATCAAAGTCATTTTTTGTAAGATACTTGTACTTTTACTCAATTATCACTTTGTGGCACTTTATACAACACTACATTTTTCCCATACAAAGAATTTGAGCCACTGTTTACCTGTGGTTACTATAGCGACGGACCGTGAACTTAGGTGGCTGATCGTTTTCCTGTCGTAAAATAAAATAAAAAATACTGTTTGCAAAGATTTTTACAAAATGGGGGGCGTAAGGGGCCGAAGCAGGTCCACGAATCCAGGCTGACGGGAATGTATTGGTCAGCTGCACTGGGCAGCGATCGGTTCGGCTCAGGCCTGGTTCATAACGGGACCTCCAGTCATAGCGTTTAGAGAGCGGAGCCACCGTGATGATGATGAACGAGCTGGATTATCTTCATCAAAACAACATAGAAATGCTGTCTTTACAAGACAGACCCGAGATGAAACGTCTCGGTGTCCATCAGCCACAGAGTTCTGCGGTTTCGACCCAGGCAGCTGGTAAGAAGAACCTCGGATTTGACGAGCAGAAAGCGGCTAACTGTTAGCTTAGCCTGAAGTAGCGGTAGCTGAAAAACATCCCTGAGGTTAAAACGAAGCATCTGAACTGAAGTATAAAATTAATTCTGTTGTGTTGTAGACTTAACTGAGCTAATGGGATATAATAACTCCCATGGTGCGAACAAATGACACGTGGAGCGTTCATCTAGAGTATTAAAACCTCAATATGCCAGATTTATTTATTTATTTGAAGGACATAATCGGGGAGTCGAGAAAAGAGGGTCTTTTCAGACGTGGCAGATTAAATGTTTCATAATTATAAATTAAGCATCAGAATGTCCTGCTAAAATAAACAGTTTTACTACAATTGTGTGTAGAAAAGATCAATCCTGTTTTACTTATTTCATAAGAATAGGAGAAATAACACCCTGCTGATTAAATTAATGAAATGTCTGTGAATGTTGGATCCTATAAAAACAATGTTTTGTCAGTTTGCTGATCTTACAGAAAAAACAACAACCTCAGAAAACCAAGACCGCTGTTGATGCTAATTTATGAACTTTTGTAAGGTCAGAAATTTGTGTTTCTTCACACCACAGTCAGACAGATCAGTGTGTTTGCTGAAGCTCGTCTGAAACTGGGTCATGAAGCAGGACCATGAACCCACAAGAACATCTCCAGCAGTGGGGGTGCAATAAGTCAAATGTGAGGCCATGTGCCTGACAGCTGAGGCTCGGGCCAAACTGGGTCACGATGCAACAGGACAATGATCCCAAACACAGCAGCTGATCTACAACAGAGCAGGTCGAACAGAAAAGAATCAGGGTGTCGCAGCGRTCCTGTCAAAGTCCAGAACCTGTGTCATCTGGAGTAATGCATCGTGTGCTGCTACTCACCTGAAGCTGGATTTAAYACGTTTAAAGCCTGATCTGATTACAACATAAGATTAGTTTTATTGAACTACAGCAGAACTTTAGAAAGTACGGATGTATATCAATGGTTAAATGCACCACATTTTAATTTTCTACTAGTGCAGTTCAAACACATTTCACTTTTGATGTGGCTCATTGTGTCATAGGCGGTTATTCAAACAAGAGACATGTTTCTGAAGCAGTTTAGTCACTTGAAATGTGGGACCTAAATCGTACTGCCGTGTTGTTTTTAGAGAGAAGAGGTTTCCTCCTGCAGCCCTTCTAAACAAGTCATAACCTTTGACCTTTAACTTGCTAACCAGTAGTGGGCAGCACTAATCTAAATATTAGTTGCACTAGCCCTAAAGCACTAATTCCAAAGCACTAACCCACTGAAAAAAATTAGCAAAAGCTATTTCTAAAGCACTAATATAATCCAGTTGACACACGAAACGTTCTTCAGCGTCAACATGAGACAATATTTACTGTGTGCAGAATGTTGTCACTTAGTGCTCTTGGTGGGGAAAATGGGAGTCACCTGCAGGCCACATTTGGCCCGCGGGCCTTGAGTTTGACACATGTGACCTTGTAGATAAGTGACATGCAGAGGTGTCAAAAGTATTCACATTCATTACTTAAGTAGAAGTATAGATACTAGGGTTTAAAAATACTTTTTTGGAAGTAGAAGCATCAACTCAAGCTTTTTACTTAAGTAAGTCTAAATATACTGGTTTTAAAACTACTTAAAGTACAAAAGTAAAAGTAAAGAACACCTTTAAAAAGCCATTAAGGATACGAACTTAGGCTGTGCCAC